AGGATATATGTAATTTGGGGGAGTTCTAGGCAAGTTACTATGATCTGCTCAGAAGGTATAAAATGGCCATGATTAACAAAAAGGATGTTTTTTGAGACATAATTCAAAATATACATAATTCAAACACAACTTTCCAAAAGGAATCAATGTAAAATAGAATGGTTGTATTCTTGGTGTGCATCCATCTATAACCATCATGACATATTTTGGTTTAATAATGCTTTTTATATTTGTCAGCATTATCTTTCCTTTTTTGGAAAGCAAATACTCTTAAGAGTCACTTAGACAAGTTATTTGATCTCAGTGAGCCTTCAGAGAGTTTCTTCTTTATATAACAGAAATAGTAACAGTATATCATAGTGGTTGTAATGACCTTAAGATTATTATTTTAATAGAATTGATTTTCTGACACCTCTTCTCAGCATTGGCAATTCTACTTTATGAATGTTTAGATTATAAAATGGATTTTTAAATAAGTATTATAGTCAGGGTACTCGTGTATTGTTATACAAGGATCCACATCTAAAGGGATGCCACAAATCATAGACATCAACCTTATGCATGTTTATGATTAATTTCCCTGCAGATGGCAATGTTTTATTCTAGTAAGGTCAGTATGGATTCTAATTCACCCAAAGGTACTAGTGGGTTAGTGGTTAACTTTAACTTGAATTAATGGGAAAATTGAAATAACACCTTAATGGTTGTCCAAATCACAACAGCTCCAATGCATATAAACAGCAGCAGGATCACAGGATACTAGTAAAGAATCACAGGTATTTTGGTTTACCAGCTCAAGGTGCACCTCCATGAGAAAATAGCATATAGCATAGTTTAAAATAGACTTTGTCCATCAAGTTTGAGATTACTACATTTAAAAAAATTTTGGGACAATATGTATTATTTCAAGTTTTGGGCGCCAAGTGATACATATATTGATATTTTTATAATTTATTATTTCCAATATGTGACATTCAAATGTTCATAAAATGTGACTGCACCTTTGGTAGAGTGAAAGGGATTAGATGTGGGGGCTATTGAGAAAATTAAAACAGTGATTAAATAATGGAGTTCACATACCGTCTGTCAATCATCTGGTAGCATTTCTTCATCCAGCCTAGCCCTGGCATCTTCCGTCTTGGGGTTGCACCATTCAAATATACAATCATATAATCTTCAGCTACCATCAGCTCCAAAGTACTTATTACATATCTGATCACAGGAAGGAACAGGAGTGTTTTCAGTTGCCACATGATATACTCCATTCTATTTATACCACAATTTATGACATTTAAATTACAGAGTGCATAATAGTTAAGAATAGTTGTACATATTACCTCTTCACCTTGAGAAGAATGCAGTTACCTATTAAGATCATTTCTCTGAGAGTGAGTATTGCTCATTTATTTTTATGTTGTTTTTTTTTTTTTTTTAAATGCAGGTACATAAGTAAAATAAGTCATCTCAGTTGTATCTTGACTTTAGGCAAGGCTATATTCCATATCCTATTCTATTTTTAATGTGTTATACAGAATAAAAGTTTATTATCCTTTTTATTTAACTATTTCAAGTATTACTATATTATGAAGGTATCTTACTTTTTCATAGCATCTTCAAAATGTAAGGTAATAGAGTACCTAACATAAAATAAGTGCTGAACTGAATGGAAACCCAGATTCCTGTTTGGATTAGAAACCTGACTTTCAAAAATGCCAACAATGTTATCAAATACTTAGGGTACCTAAGATTAAAGAAGGGCAGAAAAAACAAAGCCAGTTGACTAAGAACATGTTATCGGGGAACAGAAATAATACTTCACCCAAAAGAAATGTTACAGGATTTAAAAAATACAGGCCAAAGTGTGTTCATTTTGTTTTCAATCCATTCTGCTGACAAAAGAGCTCCTTTAAAGATTTTAGTCTCTTGATCCATGCTTTTCTTGACAGAGAGTTCATTGACTTTTTTAATCAAACCCTTAGAATATTCTCCTTTAATTAAAGGTGCTCTATCTGCCATTCCATGCCCACAGTCATTAATTCAAAGCACTTTGTCATAAGTATCACTCACAGGAAAAGATTTTCCATGACATAGTGGTAATCCGCCCGACTGCTGTCTGGCAGAAAACAGGCGGCAAACACAATGATGGCATTTAGACCATCCCCATAGTATCCTGAGGGACAAACAAAAAGACATTGTAACCAATTGAAAGCTTTTAACAAGATAGTATTTAACCTAAAGGATAAATTGGGAAGCCTAGGCATGTGTGTGTATGTGGGTAGAATAGATATATCTCTAAATGAGCATTATGTAGTCTAACTACAGACTCTATTTCTTTATGTATATACAGCAGATAACATATGTTATATAGTCTTAAATACAGATAGTCCCCGACTTACAATGGTGTTCTGTTCTGATAACTCCATCATAAGTTGGTTCTAAAGTAAGTTGAATACCTCATTTTTTTTTTTTTCAGTTTTCAATATTGCCTTTTATTATCACTATCTTATAAATCTGATCCTTATTTGTCTGTGGGGGTTGGAAATACTACACATAAACTTACAGATATATTATAATACATACATACATTAAAAAAAATACACAAATAATAAGAACTCAGTGGTGGTTAAGTGTGGTTTCTTGGAACTCAAATACTTAGTAAGTTGGGGACTACCTGTATACAGTGTGAATATATCTGCAAATACATATTTGTATTATGAATGATTATATGTGTCATGCATAGTTGTGAATGGGCTATATACATACTGAATTTATTGAAGGATGAGAGGGCAACACTTTTTGTTTTACGAGTTTCTAATTTATGTAATACTAAAAGCTAGTTTATATAATACTGCCTTCCTTTAATGGTGAAGAGGTTTCCTTTTATCTTCTTTAGGTCATTTTAATTTTAAACTCCAGTTAATTTGAGGGGAAAATTTACTCACTGAACTATATAATAATCTCAGATGTATGCACTCTAGTGACCAGATACTAGTGCGTTGGTGAATAAAACAACTTTATTTAGATTTCAAGTCACTGGTGCACTTGCCTGTGGTACTCCTGGGATCACTGCACTCAACAGGCAGTGTGGAGATACACAGAAAGTTCTTACAAGGTCTAGAACAACTAAACACAGAATTCAGAGCCGAGTCTGTTAAAGAAAGGGGCTAACTCAAGAAGACCCTGGCTCAAGACTACCTCTTTTTTGAGTTTTATGAAAATTTGTGCTTTTCAGGAAAACTTAACATGGCATAGTGGGTTTGCAGGTGGTAGTGAGAAGAAAGGAGGGGAAGATGTAGGTGAGTGTGGCCATTGAAACTCTTAAAGGCCGAGGAAAATGTAGATATATTTCAGGACATCATACGCACTGTTTGAAAGCTCTGAGATAATTGTGACTTTGCCCTATCTTTTTAGTAAATTCTGTGCTCCTTTAGAGCTCATCTTTGAAATTCATGGTAGGTGCTGGTCAAACCCCTACAGATAGGTGTATGGAATTTCATGTGTCTTCCATACTTAGAAAATGATGCACTATATTTTCATTTAATATCCCCTCTTAAATACTAATAGTTTCTGTCATATAACATAGTTCTGGACTTCAGAATCATTAAATAGACACTTCCTTAAAGCTTTGAATAAGACAGAACATACCCTCAAGGCTGCCAAGCCCTCTCAGAACTCATTCTGGTTAAATTTTTTTGAATTCTAAGTACCCTTCCTGGTGATTATACATGGCAGTAATATACGTACTGCATGTAGATTTGGATAAACTTAACTCTTGAAAAGCAGTTTAATAATATGTTCTAAACCAAGATAGATAGTATGACTACCACAAAAGGTGGAGGAAGAATGATACTGACTAAAAATACATCAAATTATGGGTTTGTGTATTACTAATTTGAGGTTGTTATATACAGTGTTTATGCTAGAGATACCTTCTAAATGGAAGTCAATGTAAGGATACACTGGTGTAACATGTTTGTGAAACAGGGCTGCAGTAGTTTCTTTCTAGAATTTTTGCTTTAGTTTCCATCTTTTTCCAATATATAGGTATTTATCATCTTCTATTTCAAATGCAAATGTGAAGGAAAATGGTAGTGGAAGTACACTTTAACACAAGAAATGCTTGCTCCTATCAAGCAACTGTATTTAAGAGGATAGCTATCTAACTGGAAATCCACAAAAGACATGGCAGACTAGCTAGTAATCCCAGAAACACAAAGGTATGTGATTCAGGCTGGGGTCAATGAAAAAGATCCAGTTCTTTAAAGGAGATAATAGACATTTATCTAAATGTAGCTGTCTGGCTGCAGGGTGTCAGAATAATTTCAAGACCATGACCGATCAGTTACTTTGCTTCTTTACCTATTTCTGGAGAATTCCTAAGACATTAGAATATAAAAAAAAAAAAGATGTAGGTTTATGAAGACTATTTTAGAAGTCATCTTAAATGGCAATTCAGCTTTTTGTGTCGTTGTTGCCTGTTCTTATGATGCTGTGGTGTCATGGTTACTCCATTTCTAGGTAATAAATGTCTTTACATAAATAAGACAAATGAAGATGGTTTTTTGTACTTTTGGGTAGAGGAGCTACAGGAAGGAAAGTAGGGGCCAAAGAGAGAAAAAAACAGAAGGAGAGAAGGAGGTAATGGAAAAAAGGAAATAGAAGAAAAATATTTCCACGTGGAGTTTTCCTTTGTCAGACTTTGGCGATACTTCAGATAGTGATTCTCAGCAGAGTCTTGCTTTGCTGGCAAAATGCAATAATGAGAATCAACAGGACCGTTTGCTTTTTGGCCCTCCCAGATGCTTCAAGGGGGTCAGCTAAACCCTCAATTTCTGTTCCATAGTGAGTGGTAGCTTCCTCAAGTGACGTTATCTGTTTGCAGCAGTATAATTCATTTCAGGTTTGGTTTAAAGAAAAGTTATCTTGTTAAACTCTAATCTCAATAAACATGAAGGGAATTCAGGGCATATGTGCTGTGGTGCATGAAACATCCCACCTCGGTGCCTCCTGAGACCCTCTGAAGCAATGAAGGCAAACCTTACCTGAGGTAGGACAGGGAGACATGAAAGGGATGTAACACAAGTTTGCTGGCCAGTAAATGGAATGGAGAGAGAAGGAAAGATGTCACAGTCGCAACCAAAACATACACACACACACACCAGGGAGCAACGCTTGTCCTCATTCTTTTCAGGGTCATTTTTCCAGCAACACTGCAGAGAAGATTACCTGAATCTCCTATAATAAAATAAGAGAAGTGAAAAACAAGAAAGGAAACTCCTTGTTAACAATTCTTTGGCATGATGAATCTTGATTATTTACATGTGTTCTCTGTTCCAAGTTCAAGAAAGCACATTTTGGCCTCAAAGTAACCCCCTCACTTTTGGCTAATCATTGATGCCGCCACCTCTCCTTGCTTCTGTTATTTAAGAGGGTGGCAGGGATATTGCTCAAGGGCTCATAAACCAGCTGTCATTAAGTCATCTGACTCATGGCGACCCCCTGTGTCATAGGAGAGTTGGGCTCCAAAGAGTTTTTAGTGCCTGGTTTCTGGAAGTAGATTGTAAGCCCTTTCATCTGATGTGTCTCTGGTTGGACTTGAACTACCAATCTTTCAGTTAGCAGCCCAGTGCTTAAATGTTTGCTCCTCCCAGAGTCTCCCACTGACTCGCAGGATGTGAACACTAGCTTTGAGACCATCTCAATTAGACTGATAAAGTAAGTAACTGAGGTCCAGAAAAGCTAAGTGATGCATCCAAGGTCTAGTAAGTGGCAAAAACAGGTCTTGAACCCAACACTTCTACATTCTACAGTGCCTTGGGCGGTATCTCATACCACGGTAACTGAAGATGCAGACTTTGAATCATCTTTTGAGGGTTTGAATTATTTATCCAAATACTGCTGTCCTGCACCAGTATCCCAATTGGTGTGGACACTCATCAGGGTCTGGAAGTGCTGCTAGTGTGCACAACTTTTAACCACACCCATCTTGCAATTGTCCTGTACAGAACACTATATGGCAGACATTTTTCTACTGGCCTGAATGGGAAAACTTCCTCATAGTAAAATCCAAGGCACCAAAACAAAGCCAACATTCTCTATGAATTGCTGTTTTTTAAATGCTCATCAGAAGCCAGGAGGATGAATTCAATTGGTTGGTAACTAAAGAGTATTGCTTTATCATCATTAAGATCTAAGAGAGTGGTGTTAGCTACAGACAAGGAAGAC